AACCCATATGACCTAATTTCCAAATGACTGCAAAATTAGTTCTGCACTTAATAGAAATGATTGGTCATTATGGAATTCATTATTCTTTCATTTAATCGGTAGAATCACCCATGTTTTCCAATCCTCTTGGAAAAACTTGTTTAGTTTAGTTAAAACTTGTAAACTTGTTTAGTAAATCAGTGTTTACCCAGTCAGGATCGGTGGCTTCAACTGTGACTCTGTAGTAAGTGAGCTGTCCATCTTCTCGCTCCTGGATGATGAGCTTGTCTTTGGGGAATCTCTTCATCAGCTGAGCGATCTCCGTTTCTCGCAGCTGCTTGCAGACTTCTTCTGTGAGCTCAGCCAGTTTGACCTGCTCGTGACTTTTAGCGGGACGCATAGCTGGAGCGTTAGGCCTGAAGCTGCTCCTCTCTTTCGGACCTTGATGTTTGTCCTCCACCGGCGGAAACTCTTGTGGATGCAAAAAACGACATCGATCCTCCATAGCACAAAACCCTGAGAGGAAGTAGCGACATGGTCTTCTGGCTCTCTGTTGCCTCACAGGAGCAGGTTTATGGTTAGATGGAGGTGGAAGATCTTCTGTAGTGGGTTGGCTGTTTTCACTTAGCTGTTGCTGTGGCTCTTTTGCTTCTTTCTCCTTATGAGATGTACCATTTTCTCCATCTTTTGGTGCACCTGAAGCTCTCTGATGAAGAAAGTGGCACCTTTTTCCATAATAGCATCGCCTGCCCTGAGAGTAGAAGCGACACAATTGCTGCACCCGTTCAGCCTTTTGGGAAACATCTTTGCTGCTTATCTCAGTATCACGGCCTGAGTTTTCCTTTTTAGTGTCAACTGACACTGGTGAAGTTGTTGGTTCATCCTTAGGATCTAGTGACTGTAAAACACAAAACATATATTGTGTCTTAGCATATCATTAACTGTAAATGCAGCACAGTTTTAATGGGAGATGCAGAATTGTTTTTGAGGTCGTAGCTATGAATTAACGAAAGAGGCTTTTGGATCTTAAAACCGCATTCCCACAATAATGAGCAATTAACTTTACATAATTATGGGTAACTAAAGTTCAACCGGCCACTGAAGCAAGCGAGTTGAAGCACAAAACACCTACAGTGCTTAATTGTAATATTGTATAACATTTTTAAGCAGCAATGCGTAACTGTAAAGCTCTAATGAGGGGTAAAACGTGCTCTGCATTCAACTGCAATGAATAGAGCATTGGGAAGCACTAATAATCTGCTGGAAATATTTGCTTAAAACCTGATTCATCTGGATGGCATTACACCATAGAGCACCACAGGTTTCCCTGCTTTGTATTTATCCTTAACACACATTAAACCACCAAACATGCATTTATATAACCCCTCAGAGTGAACCTTGAACCCATGGAGTTCATGCGATAAGTGACTAGAAGACTGAATCATTTAAGTTAACCATGGTGTTTTACTGACCTGGATCATTATACTGATTTGGTGGAAAGTGCAGTCATACTCTGTACCATTATTCAGCTAATTTACACAGACAAAAGCCAACAATTTCAGAAGGAAATGAGGATATTTGTGTTATTTTGCATGCGCTCAAGTTGAAAAAAACTAAGCTTTGATTTAAAGTTCTGTGTGAGTGGCTATTTAAGCATCGATACACTGTTGACAATAGACAATTTAAAATATTTTAGCCCGAGCATTTGTCTAAACTTTTAGGATAGCACATTGAAAGCTGCTCTCTGAATTTTGCCAGAAATACAAACATTTTAAAACAAACCCAATTTATTTTGTGTAAAGACAAAAGAACACTGCGCACGTAATGCACATGAAGTTGAGTTGGCCGTACGAATTCTAGGTGTTGAACTCACCAAATCAATTGAATGCAGCACAAAAAGACTTTGACAACAGATTTGAATATTGATTTTTTTTTTAACAAATAATTCTGATGGTCTGTGGCTAAATGCAATTGATGGGATGAGTTTATGAACAACTGCTAAATGTTTTAAATGATACCGAGTCAATTTATATTGCAATTAATTTTTTTTTGTGAATTTAAATGCTTGTGCAAATTTAATTCAAAAAGAAGCATGCTATAAATGCTTCTAGTTTACCTTTCAAAAAGAATATTAAAATCTACAGAATAAAATCTACATATTGAAGATGTGAATTTCAAAGGTCTCTAAATTATCATGTTTATTATCAAAAAAAATTAAGTTTTCACCAAAATACGAAAACAGTTTCTGAGTTTTTTTTTGTGTGTGTGTAGGCTTGTATTTTACAGTACTTAAGAAATACTCACAACTGTATCTGTCAGTATTTTCAAACTATTATGTTTAATTTACCAAACTTACTCTTGTGCAAATTTCACATCTGTCACATCCATAACGACACTATTACCTTATAAATGAAGAAATGTAAAATCAGCATGTTTGTTCTATAGAGAGACAACTCTTATCATTTGGATTAGCATTGCTTCTTTTGAGTTGTGAAGTTTAATTCACAGAATTTCTACCAAGTATGTTGTTTACTGTAAACTCAACTTTTTTTTGTCACATCCATACACATTTTTATTTTTCTTATTTAAAATACAAAACATATTTACAGATTGATATTTTTCTGATCCCATAACTCTATGGTCAGTTTGTTTTGGGAAATATAAAGAAACATTTCAATATAATGTTAACATATACATTCTATGTGAATTTATGTTTTGAGTTTTTACTACAAATGTCACATCATTATGCTGGAATTGCTTATTTAAATTTTACATTAAGAAGATAAAGGTTCCACGGTAAATACATTTTAAACATGTAGTTTATTTACAAAAAAAAAAAAAAAAAAACTACAGAGAAAGAAAATGATTTAAGTTTTAATGCTAGGGCCCCCAAATCACTAAGTCCGCCCCTGCCTACTAAATATTATAAGACCTTAGTATTAAGCTCAATTTTCTCACTGCATAATACAACATAGGTCATGAAAGAATGATGCATAAATAGAGTATGATAAAAACGTAAAACAGACCTTTAAAAGTTTCCTTCATTTTCTTACAATATGTTAAAATGTGTAAGTGTTCCAAATATATTTCGTGACTGTTGTTGTATATGTCAGTCTTTCCAGGGTCAGAGGTAGTTATGTTTTAGATTACATTTAATTGAATAACTTTTATACAAGTCTGGGCTACCATAAACCTTAAGGCAGTCTTGCAGTCACGCGCTTTTGTCCAGCAGGTGGTGTTTCGAGTGTTTCGAAAGTGAAACATATTGCAAAACAATTCTTTCAGAGTTTTAAAGCATACATTTTCCTTTCAATGTGTTCCCGTTTATACTACTTAACATTTTTATTAACTGTCTTAAGCATCCCGTGTTTCTAACGCAGATCGAAATGAACGCATTCAAACAATTCATCTAAAAGATTCGATTCACAACTCACTGAAGAATCAAACATCGCAATACGCAATTTGGGATCAGGAAGTGCTGTTAAACTTGAAATGTAACTGTTTAAAACACTGTGTAGTTTCGGATTAGTCGTGCTGGTGATTGTATGAATTGCCACTAACAATGTTCTGAATTGTAACATATCAAAACCACTGGTGGATGTTGTTTAACTGAGGTTAGCCACTAACCTGCGCCACACCCGCACTTTCTGACTCCATTAGATCGACAAACACCCTGTAGTCAATGTAAACTGTCCAATACTTCAGTGCTTATAGCTGTTGCTGTCTGTCAATGACTACGTTTACCTTTGCGTTAGCATAACATACCAGTTTCTAAGATTGGAAGGTGTGTGTTACATGAAAAAGCGAATTTAAACGTCGTCTTCCTCCAGGGGTCGTCATAACGGCTCAAAAAGCCCAATCCTCTGTAGAAAAGCATTCAAATAGCAATACATTTTTTGTATTGGCTGAGAAATTAGCGAACTTAAAACGGTAATCATTCGAATTTATCAATTAGTACCAAACGTACTACATAATTAAATGCCAACTCTGCAACCGTAATTCATACTAAGCGATTGTCAAAGTAAATTTTCCACGTAATCACAAGCTAGTCTAATTGGTTGGTGCTGACCAGCGCTGAGGAAAGTAACACAATCCACGTGACACCTCCATCAAAACACTTCTGTACCCTACTGGAAAAGCTGCGTTGCTCTTTCAGGCTGTGTGGTTGGTGCTGTGGATGTCAAAAGGGGTCTTACATCACACAAAATCGATAGAGGACGCAACGACAAGGACGCCTGGCTCTCCTTTGTTTTGCAGGATCAGTAGAGGATGAATGTGGGCGGATGCGGCTCTGTACCAGACTGCTGTCATTCGAATGCTGCTGTGTGGGTCTGATGCGTGACCATCCACATTGCTGTCTTTCTCTAAAATGTGAACTGTGCAAATCTCTCTCTTTCGGTACGCCTGCAGCTCTCTGATGAAGAACGCGGCACTTTTCCCTGTAATAGCATCATCATCGCCTGCTCTAGAAACGGCACGATTTCTGCACCTGCCTGGCCTCATAATTAAATAACTTGCTGTAAGTGAAAAAATTCCGATACACACCGAATTAAAAATACCTAGCAAAGAATTGGATATTTCGACCAATCATAACTGACCAATTAGAATCTGCTTATGGGCTAAAGCCACGCCCTCTTCATACATTCTTTACGTTGTTTGCCGTTCTATTTGCTTTTATTTCTCCATGTTTTGAATTAAACGTCATCGACGCCCTCTCGCGTCACGGAGTGCAATGATAATCTAGTCAAGCTCAAATACAGAGCATATTAATATCCAAACAGACCTAAGCACATTTTTGTCTTTCTAAAATTCTAACAAATTTGTTTAACATCTTTTTTAAAAAAACATATACATCCAAATGCTCCCCTCAAACATTTAAATAATTAACAAACTGAACTAGCATATAAATATTTCAGAGCTGGTCATAGATATCTTAGCAAGGCACCCAGGTCGCATCAAACATCTAGCAGAGAGACTGTTTTATTTTTTTTATGACAGAAATATAGTCAAACAATAACTGAAAATGACACTAGCACACATTTTTCAGACAATTTGGGACTTTGGGACGAAAGACTCTGTTTTGCAGCCTATTTGGGACTACGTGCGACTCAACCACTCAGAGACCCTCCGGTCTCCTCTCTTTCCAGTGGTTCTTACCGTATCGTCATATTTTGTTCTTGTCCTGCCGTACCTTTCTTGTGATATCTTGGGAAGGAAGTGGCCAGCCATTTACCGCTACAAAATCCAACCTGACAAGCTGCCAACAACTGCAATGCTCCTTCACTGCAGTGGAGTGACTCTTTATAACCACATCCTTCTGGTGATTCCAGCAGCAGTCGCACAGTGGATGTGGAGACCTCCGATTCCCCTTCCCGAACAAGCACCTACTTTACTAGAACTGGTTGGTGGAGTAACTGGAAACCTTCTTCTTTTTGACTTGCAGTATTTCATCTGGCACTTCTTGCACCATAAGATTCGCTGGCTGTATGTGACTTTCCATGCCATCCATCATAATTATTCTGCCCCCTTTGCTCTGGCCACACAGTGCCTTGGAGGATGGGAGTTGGTGACGGTGGGCTTCTGGACCACCCTCAATCCCGTCCTGCTGAGGTGTCATCTGCTCACCACCTGGATGTTCATGGTGGTCCACGTGTACGTGTCTGTGGAAGACCACTGTGGATACGATTTCCCTTGGTCCACATCTCGTCTGATCCCATTTGGTGTTTATGGAGGTCCGAGCAAGCATGATGTGCACCATCAGAAGCCTAATACTAACTTTGCACCTCATTTTAGTCACTGGGATAAAATGTTTGGCACTCATGCTGATTTTAGATTTTCTAAACCTCGGGAATGATGAATGTAAAAATGTGTAAATGGATTTTAAAATGGCCATTTGTTTGCTTCAGGCAGAAAATCAGAACAACTTTTGGCTATTTATTTGTTGAGAGAGAGTAGAAGTATGATTTAAGCACAAAAAACTACAACGATACATTTTAGAGATTATAGCTCAGGCTAAATTGCATATCAGGGTATTATATAGGCTTTTCTTAAAAATAGGTGTATTATTGTAAGTGAAATTAAAAGTATAAGTGTAAGTGAGTGGTAAATTGTGAAAATGATAAATGTAATTATTGTAAATCAGGCTTTCACCATTGACATAGAAGAATGTTCTTTTAGTTTTATCTTGTACACTTTAGTTTTTTTGCTACCTTAAATGTTTAAGTTGAATTAAATAAATTTTATACGTCGACTACTTAAGTGCTTATAAGCTTAAATCAATTAAACTGAAATAAACCTTAAGCTACAATTTATATTATTAACCTTATAAACCTAATAAACTTAAATAAAGTCAATAATTTAAAATGTTTAAACATGTTGACATGCCTTTTTGAATGTTTACAGTGTATTTGAAGCTAAAAGCACTTTACAATTTTTTCAAAGTTTTACAGCAATCAGTCATATTTAACCTAACAACTTGCAATAAATTTCTAGAAAAAAACACATTTTACAGACATGTGAACACTTGTATTATGCATGATTTATTTAGATTACTATGAATGAATGTTATTATAAAAGAGTCGTGTTAGTGTTATTTTAGATTTTAAGCTGAGAGCACTTTAAAAGAAAACTTGTTACTCCTGAGTTTACAATAATCAGTTGTAATGTTTAATCTAATAAAAACTACACAAATAGACATATTTACAATTTTACCATATATTTATACTATACATCTGGGTATTTTGCAGATATTTAAACACTAGTTTTATGTATGATGAATTTATAACATTTGCAAAACTTCTACATTCTATCCACATAAAAAACAGAGATGTGTATATGTAGTTGAAAACATACTGTACATTTAGTTATATAAAGTTACATACATATTTATAAATAAAGTTACATTCATGTTAAGATTAAGGTCTGTATAACTGGATGTTTAGTAGTAAATGAAATATTGTTGGAATGTTATTAATGAAAATTAATTATTCAGTGTGTTACTTGTTGTTTTTAAAATCTATTATATCTATCTATCTATCTATCTATCTATCTATCTATCTATCTATCTATCTATCTATCTATCTATCTATCTATCTATCTATCTATCTATCTATCTATCTATCTATCTATCTATCTATCTATCTATCTATCTAAAGTTATTGTGGATTCCCTTGTTACTGCCACAGAAAAAGAAAATATTTATGGCTTTTTATTTTGTGTTTTTACTCACAGTCTTTATGGTTTCCTTTAAACTCATAATTGCAAGTAAAGAATTTGAGAAAGCCTGAAATGTGAAATTGTGAAAAATAAAGACAATTCTGATGAAAGGGAGTTGCAAAATGTAGAAGTATATTTTCAAATTGTATTCAGTTCCTTTTTTATTTCATTATTTTTATATTATTCACTGGAATAAACAAGAATTTATTCGTTATGAATCTACAATATGAAATGCAATAATAAACCATTTTAAAAGTTTAAATAATATAGGCTATTTACAAATTCAAAAAGGTGTAAAGGAACATGTATATTAAAAAACAAATTATTTTCTGTTCCACTCACATGATACAATGTCAAACCATGCATGGTAAATCTAACAACAAATGTACACAAGAAGAAAATGTATTTTAAAAAATTCCACTTGATGCGGTTTATTTAAGGAAAGTATATTTGCATATATGTTCAAACTCAAAATAGATGCACTGCAGTTACCCAAAGTCCCTTTATTTTTTATTCAAGTTTTTGAGTTGCCTTTTATTTCCAAAACTGATGTTTATTTCTCAGTATTGTTCTTTTGGCTTTGCAAGTAGGATATGAATTTGACTGTTTATGGCTACATGTGTGATTTATGGTTGACATTCCAAACCTGCAGTCTTTGGTGAGCTTCAGATTCAGTCATGTGTTTATATGCATGCAGGCTTAACATTGATCTGATTGATTGTGATTATGCAATACAATGATGTAACAGCAGGTGTCGGTAAAGACATTTGTTAAATCCCTCTAACAATTTTGCTTGTGAGCTTCGTGTATTTGAAATCTTATGTGAATTTATAAAGCAAGAATCGTCGAAAAATTGCTACTTTTAGAATAAAATGTGAGTGGTGTGACCAAAAAAAACTTGTTCAAAATGGCTAACAACCTGTCAGATAATATCAGATGTTGTTTAACCAGCGTAATAAAAGTCTATTAATAAAAAACATAACAAAACCAGCTGTGTTGTTTCAACCTTAACAGAATAACCAACACATTTATGTGTTTTAGCCATGGGTTTTAGCAGATGTTTTTAAAATGTCGAATTTCTGTTCGCTGTGTGGCGCTGTTCCTGGAACCGTTCCTCTTAAACACAGCAGTGGAGTGTTATGGCAGCCAGGAAACGGACAGCCATCTTATAAATCTGCAGCCTTTCTGTTACATTTGCAACCTAAACGGCTTTATTCCATCTTTTAACGATGGGTCAGTGCGGGATTACATCATCTAAGACCGTTTTGGTGTTCCTGAACCTGATATTTTGGGTAAGTTTGGGGTGTTTGTGGCTGAATTTAGGAGTGCGTCAGTGTTGTCAGATGGATGGACACAGTCAGGTGTCGAGCAGCTGCATTATTAAACACTTCTTTAAATCACTGAGGCATTTGCTGTCTGTTCAAATCAGCTTTTCTTTTACAATGCTTTAAATGCTGATTGTAATTTTTATGTATCCGCAATTACGTAAGAAAATGCTCGTTTGCAGTGTTTGGCGATGTTTGTTTACATATTTCACATAACGTTTAAGTCTTAATGAATTATATACACTCCCTTATGCCTTATATACAACGACAGCGTAAGATTGGTGTTTTTTTATTAGCTAAGTATGCTTTGCTAAGTTCTGAAACCGCAGTCAAGTGAGCCGCCATATGAGAACAACCGGTCAAGCTAGCCGCCTCTAGTATTTTAATGCACTTCTGTTTGAGGAATTACGGTACAGAAGCTAGGGCAGTCAAAAACCTCACAAAGACAAATATTTCAGCGGTTATTGGCAAAATGTGTCTAGTAAAAAGAAAACATGCATTAATTAAATCATAAATGTACCTTTTAAAATAAATATGAAAATATAGAACATTGAAATACATTTATTGTAGAGTTTTTTGGAGTTTTGCAAAAGTCTGCCAGAATAATTTAACACTGATTGAATTCATGCTTTTTTCACTGATATTAATAATTTTTTTAGACTTGACATGACATTTATGCCAATTTACAAGGCAAAAACAAAATGAAGTCTGCAAAAACATCTGTTTTTTTACTGCTATTGCTGAGAATTCTGCCATAGTTGACATGAAATATTCAATTAATTCTATTTCAGGATGACCTTGAATCAATTTCCATGCCAAAGGTGATTGGCATTTACAGCTGAATATGGCGGAAAAATAAAGGCAAAGTCTGCAAGAATACATCACTGATCATTTTCTGCTTTTTATACATGTACTAATAAAATTTCTTCACAGTTGACAAGACATTTCAATAAATTCTAATTCAGGATGACCTTGATTCTTTCCATGGGAAATTTTATTGGCATTTACAGCTGAATTTGGCAGAAAAATAAAGTGTGGAGAAGTACATTACATCACTGATCATTTCTTGCTTTTTCTACTGCTATAATAAAATATTTCAAAAAATATTTCATAAATTCTCATTTAGGAGGACACTGACTCTTTACATTCCAACTTTCATATAGAAATACTGCTGAATTTGGCAGAAAAATAAAGATAAAGTATGGAGAAGTACATTACATCACTGATCATTTCTTGCTTTTTCAAGTCATATAAATAATAATTCTTCAGAGTTGACATAAAATAATTAATAAATTCTCATTTAGGAGGACACTGACTCTTTACATACCAACTTTCATATAGAAATACTGCTGAATTTGGCAGAAAAATAAAGATAAAGTATGGAGAAGTACATTACATCACTGATCAATTCTTGCTTTTTCCACTGCTATAATTAAAATTCCTTAAGAGTTGACAGGAAAAATTCAATGAACTTTGAATCAGGATGGCCTTGACTCTTTACACACCAACTTTCATATAGAATTACTGCTGAATTTGGCAGGAAAATGAAGGCAAAGTCTGCAAAAAAAATTACATCACATCTTCTGCTGTATTTACCTGTACTATTAAAATTCTGTTAGAGTTGACAAAAAATGTCTAATTAATTCTAATTCAGTATGCCCCTGACTCTCCCCATGCCAACACTCTTTGTGATTTACAGCTGAATTTGGCAGAAAAATAAAGATAAAGTATGGAGAAGTACATTACATCACTGATCATTTCTTGCTTTTTCTACTGCTATAATTAAAAATTCTTCAAAGTTGACATGAAATATTCAATAAATTCTCATTTAGGAGGACACTGACTCTTTACATACCAACTTTCATATAGAATTACTGCTGAATTTGGCAGAAAAATAAGGACAAAGTCTGCAAAAAAAATTACATCATTGATCATTTCCTGCTTTTTCTACTGCTATAATAAAAATTCCTTCAGAGTTGACATGAAATAATCAATAAATTCTCATTTAGGAGGACACTGACTCTTTACATACCAACTTTCACATAGAAATACTGCTGAATTTGGCAGAAAAATATAGAAAAAATATGCAAAAGTACATTACATCACTGATCATTTCTTGCTTTTCTACTGCTATTATTAAAATTCCTTCAGAGTTGACAGAAAATAATAAATAAATTCTAATTTAGTATGACACTGACTCTTTACATATTAACTCTAGGCTATTCAACTGAATTTGGCAGAAAATTAAATATAAAAATCTCCAATAATGCATTACTGAACGTTTCCTGCTTTTCTACTGCTATTTATTGAAATT